GGAACTATAACTCTCAGAATCTCAATTTAACTCTGTAAGACTCATTTTGAACTTATGAAATGCAGACCCATAAAATGAGAAAGAAGCTTGTGTCATGTTAAGCTACGAAGTATGTAGTCATTCGCTACAGGGACAATAGAGCACTTGATGAAGCCTGTAAGATCAAGTGGCTGTCACAGCAAAGGTGGTCAGGCTGCTTGGGAGAAAAGCTGATTTGCTCTCTAACTCTCCTCAGCCTGTGTGAATTTGCCCCATCTCTGGGTGAATCTACCTTGTGTGTGTACACTAGGGTTTTCTCAGTCCATCCACTGCCTGCTGCTTCCTTGAGTTCCCTGAGAAGCTTCACATCTGCCTAGCCCACCTTTTGCTGATTCATGTGGTTATGAGGGTATATGTTAGATGAATATATATGCTGGGCAAACTGACTACCACTACCCATTTTTAAATGTAAACCAAGATCACTGATAGGCATATTTTGTATGGGTCTGGTCAAGGATACAATTTAACACCCAGGATCTTATCTAGGGTCTTTTCTGTTCAGTTCCATTTAGGTCACTTAAGTAACTACCACCACCACCACCCACATACACATGGGTCCTGCTTAAAATGCCAGATACTATTAGCTGTATGTTTCCTGAATTTTAACAGCCCAAAATAAGCTAGGGTGCCTTACATACATCTGAAATTGTTCAGGATAATAGAGCGTCTAAATTAAACACCATGTTGTTTTCCAAATCCCCAAAGTCATGTAGGTCTCTGTCTCTGCCACACACCTCTGGCTAAATGTAGAAGTTCAGCTCCTTCCCTCCATAATTTTCCACCTCTATAGGCTCATACAGCTTTTGATGATATTTTTTCTCCCTTGCCCTTTCTATCCCACTTCTCTTCTGCCCATGAATTTTCCTTCTTGCCTATTATTCATCAGACACAACAGAGTCCGAGGAATGAGGAATTCTAACCGAAAAAAACACAAACTTCCTCAAATATGGCAGAGAAAGGGTTATAATTATGAGGCATAAACATTAGGTCCATTCCACAACTGAAAAAGAAGCCATCACAGGTAGGTACAGGTGACATCTTTTGCTCTTTTTCCCCCTAAGGCAAACGGTCCTGAATGCCCTAGAATTTCCATCAGAAATGAACAGTATTCGGCCAGTAGATGGCACTATCTTAAAACAAATTTACTCAGCAGCATAGGGCCTGGGAGATAAGGAGTCACTGCCAATGGAGATGAGTTATTAAAAAAAAAAAAGACAAGAAAGAAAAAAGGGGGGGCGGCGGCGGACATGAGGAGTATATATGGGATGTGTTATGGGGGAGAGAGGATCAATATGATCAAAATATTTTGTTTGAAATTCTGGAGATCTTGTAGAGAGGGATGCGGGTAAAAGACTGGTGCACTGGACTCTTGTCAGGACAAATGGAATCTAACATTTGACACTCACTGAGGATGCTTCTTGTGATGAACCCTGCCATCTCCATTTTACTCTTTTTCTATGTCTTCTGCAGGCTCTTTACTGACTTGTTGCATTTGGTGATGTTTTGGGAGCCTTGAGTCTACATCCTAATAAACTCTCCTTAAATCTCTGCCCCCATTCATAGTACCCTGTGTCTTTCTATCATAGCACTGAACAGAGCCCCAGTTAATAGTTCACTTGCTGTCTCTAATCGCACGTGTACTCCATGTCTGATCCACTACTGAATCTCATAGGGGCTACCTAGCACACAGGTGTTGAGCAATTCTGAGAACTCCAGGGTCATGACTGCTCACAATTTAAGAAGTGCCTCTGCTTCCAATCTAAAAGGTTGATGGAGAATACCCATGCTATGGCTTTGCCTGTATTATTTCATCACTACAGTGGAACCTGCAAATTAAGCATTCTGAGTTACTGTCGAGGAGCATTTTAATAACAAATGATTCCACATTGCTGCTATAGACCAGATAGGGTTCTCATTGGTAAACTGTTCTGTGGACCTTTTAGCATCTCTCCCATCTGTCCCTCATTTTCAACCAGCACTTCAACCGGTACACACCCATGCCATACCATTCCAATCTCCCTGACTTCATTTGTGGACTTCAGTGGTTCTTGGGAACTATCTGAGGCTCGTTAATAAGAAAAGCTGACTTGCACACAGGTGTGACTGTAAAGGAGTTTAAGTCATTGAACAGAAAGATTACATATGAATTAAGGTAGGTCTAGGAGTACCCTCTAGCCCATATTTTTACATGAGGTCTCCAAAGCTACCTTCCATAACTCATGCTTAAATCAATCACTTTGATTTCAACCAAAAACAACAGTTATCACTTTGAGGCCTGCTTTATTTTAGGACTGTGAAAAGAACAGCCTTGGATAAAAGGGAACAAAAGCCCGAGTTAGAGGAAAATCAAAACAAACACTGTTGCTGTTACTTAGTGCCTTTCTTTGTTTTCTAGAGGACAGAGAAACTTGTTACAGAGTGCCTTCCTGTGTTTTCATCCCCCTTTCAAGGTCTCACCAGGTTTTTCTGTTTAGGGACTGTTCAGGGATTCTTGTGTCTACTGTCAGCATAGGTTTAAATGGAACCCGTTTCACGTTGCCATCCTGTTTACTAGAATTGTATCATTTAGCACAGATGGAAGGTGGTGGTTTCTATAGAATAGTGAGAATTCCAAATGGTATGGGATATAGCATTACTCTTGTCAGCCATGCCACGGACATATGGATCTGGATATATGGGCAGGACCTATGAACAGGAGGGATGGTTTATGGCTGGCACTAAAGAGGGTTTTGCTGTGGCTTTTGTCTTTTTGCCCTCCCAATGTAGGCCTCTTTTGCCCACCCCAGTAATTTTACTAAGTGATTGTTGGTATTGTATGAGAATAAAAGGCATACAAAAACAATTTGGCATTCCATGATATAAAACAGATTGCTTTTTTTAGTTTGTTTTTAAGGAGGGATTTGAGAACAATTTGGTCATGGGAACCACATCTTCTGTAATCACTTTTCGTTTTTAATGACCAGCAGTCATCCAAAGGAATTTGTACCTTTCAGAGGTCACCTAGTCTCTAATTCTCTAAATGTTTCATGCTTGCTATTGGTTTTTAGATGACTACTAAAGACAACTATTTGTAAGCATATATTTTCCGTTTGATTTTTGTTAGTAATGTGTAGGTAGGATTCTCCTTTAACTCAGTTTCAAGATTCCTTACAAACTGTTGTTTTTCTTTCTAAAAAAATGTAGAAATAAAGCCTTTTCTTTAATAGGGACAAGTTCAGAGAGATAGTGCCATTCTATATGACCAAAGTCCATGTTCACAATAGTTTATATAAGACAAGGCACTTTCTATGGGGGGGTCTCAATTCTGACTTTATTTCTTTTTAAATTTTTTATTTATTTAAATTTTTTTCATTTTTCATATCAACAAAAGTTCCCCCTCCCTCCCCTCCTATAGCTTTCCCCCCAAGCCTTCTCCCCAACCTACCCCCATCCACTCCTCAGTAAGGGTAAGGCCTCTTATGGGGAGTCAACAAAGTCTGGCATATCAAATTGAGGCAGGACCAAGCCCCTCCTCTCTGTGTGGAGGCTGAGCAAGGTATTTCTCCATAGGGAGTGGGCTCCAACAAGTCAGTTCATGCACTAGGGATAAATCCTGGTCCCACTGCCAGTGGCCCCACAAGCCACAAAACTGTCACCCACATTCAGAGGGCTTTTTTTTTTTGGTCCTATGCAGGTTCCCCAGCTATCAATCCATAGTCTGTGAGCTCCCACTAGCTTGGGTCAGCAGTCTCTTTGGTTTTCTCCATCATGATCTTGATCCCTTTTGCTCATATAATCCCTCCTCCCTCTCTTTGACTGGACTTCGGGAGGTTGGCCTAGTGCTTAGCTGTGGATCTCTGCATCTGCTTCCATCAGTTACTGGATGTAAGGTCAATGATGACAGTTAGGGTGGTCATCAATCTGATTACAGCAGAAGGCCAGTTCAGGCACCCTCTGTACTACTACTGGGAGTCTTAGCTGGGTACATACTTGTGGATTCCTGGGAATTTCCTGAGCACCAGATTTCTCTCTAACCCTATAATGTCTCCCTCTATCAAGATCTCTCTTTCCTTGCTCTCCCTCTCTGTCCCTCTCACAACTCAACTATCCTGTTCCCTCATGTTCTCCTCCCCTCTCCCCTTCATTCCTCCCTCCCCCTCCCAAGGCTCTCTTAGGGTCCTCCTTAGACAAGGTATTTTCTATGTTCTACAGAACTAGATACTGTCCTGCACCCTGGGTCCCCCAGCTGCCAAGATACAGAATGATGCCAGTTTCTTATAAGGACTTGAGAATCACAGTTGCAGTTTCTCATTAGGAATTGTTCCTAGCCCTGCCTCTTCTGTGGTCACACTCCCTTCCAGAGAGTAGCTAATAGAAGGACAATTTGCCTAGATCTGTCCTAGTTGAAGGCAGCTCTCAACAACCTTCCAGCTTCCCCATTCCAATGTCCTGAGTCATCAGTCCTGCATTGCAGGCTGACTCTCCCCCTGCACAATCCTGCCTTCCTCATTCCCTTAGAATGCTATCTCCAGTAAACTCTTTGCTCTGACTCAGCATCTCAGTATGTTCCTAGGAAACGCAAAAGGTGATAAGAGAAATAGTACTAGCAACCGAATGCATCAATCACATAATGTTGTAAAGAAGAACATCCCAAGAAAGCATCTAGCATAAGATCATCTTTCCACAGATAGGGAAACTGAGGTAGAGAACCCAAGTGATCTGCCAAAGGCATCATAAGCTAATTAGATGAGAAGCCTTGTCGTAAAATCTACAACTGTGGTCCAGTCTAACCAACTATAATATTATAGCATTTGATCTATTCCACAGACAACCTTCATAACTTGAAGATGAAACCCAAAGTTGAGAATTTGGAGTCTCAATATAAAATGCTTTTTTAGAAGTTCATCCTCTGTGGACTTCTGACTATGAAAAGCCATTTTCAATCTTCTGATACAACCATTGCACAAACAGAGAAGCCTATCTGATGGAAGGGTGGTATCACATTTTATTAACAACAACAAAACCCAGTACCATACAGACAAAATCTTACTTCAGTGGCAAATCATACATGTACATATACCCACATGTAGCACTGGGGCCAACTTTGGACATGAACATTAGGCACCAAGATCATGACCATCAAACAAAACATAGTTTACACAGTCCTTCAGTAAAGTTTAATTTTTTCACCATAATATGAGATCATATTTTCCAGCTGAGGCAAAAAGGTGTATTTCTTAAGTCTAATTCTCATCCTAACTATGGAAAAAGGCCAATTGGCCTTCAGAACTGTGAAGGGGATGATCAACCTCTTAAAATGACTTTTTTCTCTGTTTCAGAGAGAAGATCTATGATATCTTTGCGGTAGACAGCCTCGCATATGATGTTTTTCAACTCTCATTACATGTATAAGCACATCTGTACTAGAAATCATTTTAATACACAAGCTGTGGCTTAATAGGATTAATATCATTAGGATGAGTTAATTGGATTTCTAAGAAGCAGAAGAGCAAACTCAGGAGATTTTCAACGTTCCATAGTTCAATGCTAATAATCTGAATACTGTTGGAACCCTTGCCAGTTCAGCTGTTTAAATCCTTGCTCAGGGTGTGTCAGTACTGAGTTAATCAGTAAGTTAATACACACAAATCTAACAGATTAGTGATGAGAATTTGCACTGCAGTTTGATATGGATGGATCCAGGCAATTCCTTATATACTGGGGAATACATAAGATATCACGCAAGCCTTTGAATTGCAAGATAATGCAGGGCAGAAAATCTAGATCTTTGCTCTTAGAATGGGCAAAACTTGAAAGATCTTACATCTTCAAATCACTATCCAGAGGCTTAAGTTTACATTTCTGATAAAGCTAGTGTCATGAACTTGGGTTGGCTAGCATGTGCTGGCAATCTTTTAATTGTTCTTAAATAAGAAACACATTTACATTTTTTAGAAAGGAAGTGCTTTGTAGAGAAACCTTTGGAAATTTTTTTTAATTAACAGTTTTTCAAATGGGAAAGAGAATAATAGGCACCATTCCAGGCCCACAATACTCCTAAGATTGAAAACTCAGTCTGGATATATGAAATCATTCAATTAAATGTTTGTTATAAAACCAAATAATTAAAACAAGTAATATTATCAGATTGAGCCCTAATTTCATTTCTGTATTTGACTGTCTCAATACATAACAATAGAGAAAATTTCACGTGTCCTTTGGCACTTGAGAAAAAATGGCATGCTAATATTTAACCATATTGAAGACACGTAGAATTGGAGATCCAATTTTATTATCAGACAGCCAGAGAACACCTGAAAAAATGCTAATTTCCTTAAATAAGCACAGAATGTTACTGACAAGGGCCAATTCACGTTTAGATACAGTCCAGAAAAGAAGGTGCCTATTGTAGCTTGTCTCATATGGAACTAGTCAGTGAGGACACCTAGGGAACATTTCAGCCACTATTTTACTCTGCACATCTGGGTAGCTACACATAAATCACAGTAAGCAAGTGTTTTATTTCTGAAACCATCAACTATGTTGCATTAAAGGCAAGAAAAGCAGACCCCAGAAATTATTCTTCACAAGTAAGTACTTCGCCATTTTATAATTTAAGCACTCACAGCATTTTATTCTATCAACCAACATGAAGTAGTCTAACAAACAGGATGAAACTTGATCTTACTAAAATCAGATAGGTAATTAATTCTTTGGATTGTTATCACTTTACGAAGACTGAGATTAAACTGAGGAGGATTAAATCAAGTGCACTTAAATGGCCCAATGACACAGGCTGTAATTCATCCACCTTTTCCTTTTGATGGTGATGGCTCTAAGGATGATCAAGCAGGAGGCCCGAGGGTGAAAAAGTTCAGGATCACAGCAGCAGTTTACACTTGTACAAGGCAAAGCAGACAAGAGCCACAGAGGTGGAAACACCAGTGATCTTTAGTAGACCAGGCACGGAAGGCAGGTTCCTCTCAAAGAACGTATGGGTAATTTCGAATGCTGGAACATCCTAGATAAATGAACATAGATCATTAACAGAAATTCTTGCATACCTCGAAGAAACAAAGCCTATCTGTAATAGTGTGTGTTTCTATCCCCAAGACAGTTGCCTCCATAATAAAAGCAGAGGCTGAAAGAAGGTCAATGCAATTTTCATGTGCTACAGTTTGTCTATAGAGATGGAGTAGCCAATCTACCTTGGAGTCAGGCTCTTGAACCCATATGTCTTTCTTGGCAACTTTTCCTAGAGCATTCAAGACCTGAAAGAAAATTGATTGTGGCATTATAATGTGACACAGACTTTTTGACAGACTCAAGGTAATATTAAACATTGATGGACCCACAGGTGTGTGTCAGAGAAATATATACATAGACTATCAGTGTCAAGAAATATATGGAAGAATGGATAAAGAAAATTTGTTATTCACATACAATGGAACATTATTCCGCTTTAAATAAGAATGAAATGCTGTTAGTTTGACAACAAGGATGGACTTAGAGGATAACACATCTTTAAATGAAATGTGCTATGCTTAGAAAGACAAACAGAACATGTGATCCATTATATGCAGAAGCCAAATAAGTGAATCCTATAGGAGTAGAAAAAATAACAGAGACCACCACAAGCTAAGAAAGGCAACAGGAAGTAAGGCTACTGAGAGCAGGTAATAGGTACGGAAATATAGCTCAATGGGAAGAATAAATTCTAAAATTCTATAGCAATATCGGGTGACTAAAGACTGTATTTGACTGTCTCAATACATAACAATCACAAAGATATGATACATGTTTGATAGGAAGGAGATGCTAATTACCTTGATTTGATCATTGTCCATTATTCATAGGCATCAAAATATCAATGTGTACCCCACAAATATGCGCAACGGTGTCAATAAAACAGCCCAAGTATCTAATTTCTTGTTGTCTAGCCATATAAATAAAACAAAGAACCAGAAAGATCAGATGACAAAAATTCTGTCACAGGGCTGGGCTATAGCTCACTGGTATAGCCCATACCTCTCATGCATGCTACTTTCAATTAAATTCCCAGTACTGCTTCCCGAGATGTAATTACAACTGAAAAAGAGGGCACCTTAGATTTCTCCCTTACCTCTTTAGCTGCTCGTTCTCCAGCTTGGACGGCTCCTTCCATGTAGCCACTCCACTGTGTTGCTGTCTCCGTGCCTGCAAAGTAAATTCTGCCTACTGGTTGGCGAATCACCCTTGAAGGAAATAAAGAGGTCACGGAGGGTTAAATGGGAAGGTGCTGAGGGGAAATGAGTCCACAAAAGGAAGGGAAACCAATCAAGGAGAAAGCACTCATGAGTCTCAGTTCAAAGTAAAAGTCTATGCTTTGTTTCATGTATCTGCTTACACGGATCTAAACTATCAAACCTGAGAGAAGCAGACTCTAAGTTTACTCATCGCTAAAGGTGATGATGACTATTTTCAGGCAGCCAGTCAGCCTGGGGTACAGTTCTCCTATGTAGTATCTCTTGAGACTGAGCCAGGGACCATGGACCCTATGCCTGCAAGGCAAAGAAGCAGAGCACATGAAACAAGGTGGTTCTAAGGAAAAGTAGACTCCCAGGCCCTGCAGATCTCATCTCCTCCCACCTCAGCTGAATACACTGAGGCCTCTTCCCTCTGAAGAATATCTGATGCTCCTCTGTTGACAAGACAGATATGTTGGACAAATACATTCATTGTCCTGAGAGTGGGCAGCCCTGTGAAAATAAATGCTGAGGAGTGTTCAAAAGGCTTCCCAAAGGACAATGTAGTTGTCTTCATCTCACAAGTGCTACTGACATCTTTGATCCTGCCTACCACAGCTCTATGTGTTAACATCCGCTTCTCTGGGGACATATACTGAGTTACAAGCCGGCAATTTATCTGGGATTTACAAATAAGAATACTGCCTGTTTCTACAATTGTTAGTGAACACAGCTTGTTTGAATGTATGCAAGCCCTGTAGGAGTTGGGGCAGTGATTGGACAGTACCTTCCATACTGGGTCATGATGCCAGGAGGGAAGTAGGCTGTGTAGCAGCCGCCGGAGTACTGCTCTTCACACCAGTTCTTCTCCTCATAATGGACTGGCTGTAATTCAATGGGGAGAAAATTACAAAAGAAAATAACAGTGGAACTATTACCTGCCAGCAGTGAAGTCTCTTATGTATTTTACATTAATAGAAAGTTTATATTTAAAGCATAAACTGGGGATGGAACACAGTGGTATGAATGTGCCAGGCCCTGAGTTAGAGTCCCAGCATAAAAAAAATAAGAAAACTAGGAAGAAAGGGAAAGTCGAGAAGTAGGAGAGGAAAGAGAGGGAAAGAAATAAGTCTGAAGCTGAGTGATAGAACACTTTCCTAACATGCACAAGACCCCAAATTTAATTCTCAGCATGGCAAGAAAAAAGAGCACACTGCTTTTCTTAACCTCTTGCCTAAAGGAGTCAAGACATAACCCAACACTTGGTAGAGAGGACACTGTCATTCATGCAGATTCTAAAGATTAGAGCTGAGTCTTCAGGAAACCCTACCAATCAGTTTTTGGAAAGGTCTTCTCCACTCTCAAGTGTCTAAGACAATGGCCTTTCCTTTCCAATCTAGCCAGGTATTGCTGACAAAGGCAGGCTGGGAGGGAATAGGTAGAAGACAGAGCACAAAGAATTTTTCCAGAATCCCTTCCCTAACCTGTAGAAGTTCATGACAAAAATGTTGCTCAAAGGAAACAATTAAGATGAAAGTGTTCCTTAGGGAATATGAGAGAGCCTTCCGCGACTTCCCTATCACATTCCATGTGTTTATTATTTGCACAGGTTAAACAATTCCACAGAAAAAGTCCTCAGCTATTGCTGCAGTCATCAGAAACCATTTCCTTCTCACTGTTTTCAGAAGCAGTATAAAAACCCTAGGAGTGCCAAATGAGGTATGAAGTGAGTCTCCATGTGGAGAAATGAATTAGTATGTCTTTGACCTGGGAAAACATTAAGTCTGCTGTGTTAAATATATATTATAGTGCCTTCGGCAACATATGATGACATACCTGGGGTTTTGTTTTACAGCAATCACTTGACAATGACAGAAGCACAGGGTCTCTATTCTGCAGAGCAATCTCCCTTATCAGTGACATAATGATTGTGGTTCCAAGTCTCTTACTACAGTTGAATGCCTACTATGCAGTGAACACTTCAAAAGACCAACGTGATGCTATATCACAAGTTCATATACCTGACACTAATTTTTAATGCCTTTCGATTGCTGAAATTAATTCTCTAAATTAAACACATCCACCTCTATTCTCTGCTTAAGACTTACAAGAAACCAGAACTTGCTGTAATTTACCACCTTTAACCAACACAGCAAAGCCTGTTAGAGAATGGGGTTCTTACATATAAAGCTTCTTCAGATCCCAGAACTTTGGCATACAGCTCACAGATTTTCCTCTTCCTATAGAGAAGAGCAAAGGCATGTTAAATAAGTCATAACTGATGGGCAGAGAATAAGCACATAAAGTTCTAGGGTATTTGATAGTGACTTCCTTGAAGAAAAAATCAGTTTAATAGCCTTCTGTAACTACAAAACAAATAGTCAATTAATCCCTGAACTCAGTTTATATGCCTCAGTGGATTTCTGTATGCTGATTAACATCATATGCCTCAACACAGTAATTTGAGGAAAAACAAAATTTTCCTTTTTTTCATCTGCTATGCAGATGAGGGTGGTTTCAAACTTGCTCTGATCCATTGCCTCAGCCTCCTGAGCACTGACATTATGGGTGTATTCTATCATGCCTAGCTAAACTCTTCTTGAAAGAAGATATGGTTTAAACTCACAGTATTCCTGGTGAGTTTTTTAAAAACTTAATTTACTAAATTTACTCATCTTCTAAATTAATAGCTCTATATCAAGTATTGAATATATACTATTTACATTTACTCTTTTCAGCTTTTACATAGTTTAAGCACGTAAAAATGCCTCCAAAATGTTTGTTAAAGGCTAATAAACTATCAGAAAATAATTTTTATGAAAATGAGGCAAAAGATGCAATTCAAATCCATAAAACAAGCACTAAGATCGGATGAGAGAAATTATTTAAAACATGTGTGTGTGAGTGTACACAAATATGCAAGAGCCAATCTTACTAGTAATAAAGAAAACAAATATAAAAATATACAAGTTCATATTGCCAATAGCATTAGAAAATATTTTTAAAACATAAACCCAATTTCTTTAAACAGAGTGGAACAAAATGTAGACTTATTATTACTGATATCATTAATTTTATACCATTGACATAACTCTTATAACTCCTATCATGTAAGTACATAAGGTTAAGTTGGAAAAAGAAGTAGAATTATAAATGTGCTTATTGCTATATTGTTTCTATGCAAGGTTTTAAAAGAGACAATTTCACTCATGAATGATGTTACATAATGTAAAGTGGATATATAAATTCTAGGACAGTTAGAAAACGCTTGATTAAAGGCCCTAACATACAGGAAGAAGACTTAAGACTACTGTTTATTTGCTTTATCTAATCTATAGTCCCCATTCAAGAGGTGAAGCTGAACTTCAGTGAGCTGCAGATTCCTTCTCTACCATTCTGTTAAGTAATGGGAAGGTAAACCTTTACTATTCCAAGCATTCTGCCCTTAATAGGTACTCAATATGTGTTGAGCCAAATTCTATGCTCAGTCCAGTATGGTATCCTCTTTTCTATGCCACGAAGAGATAGCAGGTTCTCATTTTATGAGAGATTGTAAGTAGTAATTCAGACATTCAGAATCAATTAAGAATAATGCCAAGTCAAGCAGGAATATTGCCAATTAGTATTCCAAAAGGTTGATGTATTTAACTTATTTTCTTGACATATAATAAAATCCTTACAAGAGTAGAGCTAAACTTAAAAAATCAGCCTTCATTGTAACTAACTTTTAATAAAATAATAAAAACACGATAAATATCATGTACTGTATTTCATATTATTAAATGAGTCAAAGACAAGTTTGTACAAACACACCAGAGAATTACATTTCCCATTCCTTTCCCTCATTAAAATTAAAACTTTTAAGAAGATATATGGAAGACAATGGCGTTATACCAAAAAAGTTTTTATGCGTATGTGACAGGGATGGAACACTGGGCTTCACACACACAAAACATGTGCTTTACCACTGAGCTACATTCTCCACTGAGACTAATGCATTTAGATTAGTTTGGCTTAAAAATTAATAGAATACATTTTAAATTGTAGCCAAACAAGGTCACCATGCAAATCATTTTATAGTTGTATTTATTCACCAGCTTATAAATCTGTCTCATCATCACAATCACTTGAACAAGTGGTTAGAAATACAAATTCTTAGCCTCTGTTTCAAACCCCCTGAACAATATTTTATAAGCCTCAAGAAATTACACTTTATAAATACCTTTTGGGAGAGTTAGACACACTAAGTTTTGAAAACTACTGCTCTCATTACTGACATATTCAGAAAAGGTTTTTGTTTTACAAGAACTTTACAGTTCAGCCAATATGTGGAATCATACCCAAATCTCTACCTCTAGCCTGGTATTTATTTTATTATTAATAGAAAGGAAAGGCAGGAAATCCAAAAGAAAATGTCAAGCTTGGTGTGGTGCAATGAAAAAATTATGGATGTATTACCTGTTACTCTTGACTTTGTCACATGTCAGGGGCTATCATTTGAATGTATGTGACCTCTCCCTAAGAATTCCCATGTTAGGGTTAGTAGGATGGTTCCGTGGGTACACACGCTTACTATATAATCCTCATGATTTGAGATAAATCCCTGGAACCCATTTCAAGGTAGAAGAGAACTGATGCCAACAACTCTGTTTGCCACTCATGATTATGGAATACATGAGGCTACACACACACACATACACACACACACACACACACACACACGAGTGTGGACACACACACATATCATGTAAAGATTGTTTCCTTGTTACAACTTTTTCACCATAGTAACAGTATTCAGGAGTGGGGGGTAGTACTCTTAAGAAAAGTGGTTAAAACATAAGGGCTCTATATATCTTAGGTATTCTGCTTACCTGCAATTATCTCACAGGAAAACCCTACCTCTTAACTACATAAAATGACTACAAATGTGTAAAATTAAATTAATATATGTACATAGACATTGACTTGATCAAGGAAAACATAGTGAAGTATTTAAAAAGTTGGTTTGTTGATGATGAGAATATTTGTAAAATATTGTGCTCTTCTTGCTGCTGTTCTACTATTGTTGGTTCAACAATCAGAATGCAAAGGCAACCCTTATTGATTGTGCAGATATAAGTTTACCTTATTTCTTTATGTAGCTTAGCAAGTCGATCAGCTTTCCGGGCAAGTATGAAGCTGGAGAAGGAAGCCACATTTGAATGGTCAATTATAGTCACGATAAATGCACATTACTACCACTCAGCATTAATGAAATCTTCCAACCCTCCCCTTCTCCTAGAGCAAATGCCATCCTGTCTTCAGGCTCCCTCTGCACCTAAAAGTCTGCTAGGCTGTAAGCTCCTAAGTAACAGATAATCTCTTATTCAATATTTTACTTCTAAAATTTAGCACCATATTTGATATTATAGGAAATTAGACATTGGGCATATTAAGATCGCAATTGCATTAGATCATTATTCTGGCAATGACACTCAATAAAGCTGGACCATTATTAATACATACCTACCATAAATGCCATAGTACACCCCTCACTCCCTGCCCTATTGCCCTTCAGAATCAGTAATTGGTGCCCTTAGCTCACAGATAAACCCTTCCCCAGCAATTATACTCAGCAGCAGATAACTCCCTGGATCAATATCCTGCCCCTCCTAAGAGGCAATTGATTTCCAATTATCAAGTTAGTTCATTCCCTTGTCAAAGTTTGGGACATCTGTGAAAGATCATTCCAGTTTCCATATTTCCATGAGCTGGCTGAGATCTTGGTTTAAACAACAGTGATATTGAACTCTCTCTCTAACTCATCCTGCTTCCTTCCCTACCACAAAGTCAATAACCAGGAAATTGAGCTGGGTCTGGCAGTACAGTCCTGCAATTGAAGCTACTTAGGCGTGTGAAGCAGTAAAGTTTAAAACCAGTCTTGCTACAGAGTAATTTAGTGGGACCCTATATTAAAATAAATCACACAAGAAAGTAGTAGACATTTGCCTAGCATATACCAGGCCCTCGGTTCAGTACCAAGTGCTGTATACACAAAAACGGGGAGAGTGGAGGCTATTGCCCTAATATAACAAGAGTAACTCGTCAACAACAGTAACGAAAGACAAAATATTTCTTCTCAAGCCTCATATTGTTGTAAGAATAACAACAAAAGAGATTGCAAAAGAAAATTTCACAAGTTTATCATCCTTTGCAGTGTTTGTCCTTTGGGAGACACACTGGTGAAAAGTATCCCAGAGGTGGTAAGTCTAGCATATACTATATATATAACAAAAATCCCATTTTAGAAACAAAGGAAAGCAGTTAAGTTTATGAAGATGGGGAATCATGAGAAGACAAATACATCAGAAGCTAATTTTGGAGGTCAGCTTGCAGATTCCTCTGGCTCTGGCTCTAAGCTAACAAAGTGCTGGAGAATGTTTCTCCTAACATAAGTGAAATGCAGGGGAGTATAGAGCACTTCCTTCTACCTTTTTAAATCTCAACCCTTAATTTAGGTAAACAGAAAGCAGGCAGAGCTTTCTTGCATGGCAATTGTTTTCAGTTATTCTTCATATTTGGAAAAATAAAGTCTGGTCTTCCATAAACATAAAGTACAAGTTAAACTTGGAGAATAAATTCTGGTGATCTACTACACAGTAGGAAGGTCATAATTAATATTAATTTATTATATATTTTAAAATAGTTAAACAAAATTTTCAATGTTCTTATCATAAGGAAATAACCATATGAGGTAGAGGATAGGCTAACAAACCTGATTTGATCATTGCACAAAGTAAATATGTACTGGAACATTCTTCATCCAGATATACATCTTTTAGCAATAAAATAAAACCAATAGATAAATCCTTCCTAGGAATTTCCTAAATAATCCCAACAATACTTGGAAGGGTGCCAAAACATATGTCCCTCTTATAAAGCCAAAGCAACTCCAGTATAACATAAGGCAAAAACGTCTTAAGTTCTTCCATCTGTAACTGAACTATCACTGACTTTTTGAAACTTGCATACCGATCTGCTTTTTGTTGGCCTATAGAAATGACAAACTGATGGAACTACCTGGATCCTGTTTTGCTCAGTGGAACTAAAAATGAAGAGAATATGTTGCTTTTTTATGGTCATTATATTGTATACTCCTGCCTGCCTCAGGAATTTAGTGCTATTTCTTACATTACAGACAGAGAAGTGATTATCAAACATTTTGTCAGTAACCCAGGCAGAGCCTGCTTCTTAGGGTCCATAGGACATGGGTCTACCCCTTTTCTCTTTGTAGCTTTCCTAAAATGGCATGATGTGTTGTTTATTGAGCTCACCTATCTTTTTCAGAAAGGAAGCCTGCATTTCTCCAAAGCTGAAACCATTGGTTTCTAAAAGCCATTTGACTGTTTTTAACATGTATTCTTTTGTTATAGCACAGCACAATAAAAGGCTTTGATGTATATAGGCTATTTTAGAAGGACAAAGGTATGCAACTATGAAGGTGTATCCCTCCTTACAATTTCCTTTGTGAGGACCCACTTCCTTCCCTGGAGCACTAGTTTTCCATAGGCTGGCGGACTATCAGTGTACTTCTGAAGTTAAGCACTCGTGGTGAAAGATAGCTGCATCCATTTGTGGCCTGTCTCATCTTATATTCACACTGATACTTTGTATACAAGTGTTAGGAAAGAGCAAGTCCAGAGACACTGTATTTGAAAGATTGCACAGGGTAAAGTTGTTCTCTTCCTAGAATAACTGTGGATACTCTCCCTCTAGGAAACATTGATTATCATACTATCTATCAAGCTGCCTTTTCTATTCTAATCTTAGCATGTAAGTTTTTGTAGGAGAATAGGTAGGCAAGTACAAGTTAAAAAGTGAAGCCAAGTTCGTAGTTTTCCAGTATTCTTTTGCCACACACAAAAATGTTGCTATAGATATGCTAATATATGAAAACATAATATCGTGTGTATTTATCATTGCTTCGGCCCAATTATAAAGCAATATCCTTTTCTAGCATCCATATCAACATAAATTAGAAACTGCTCTAACTTACCCCATGATGGCAGGCAGTGACCCATCTGGTTTGGTGTCATCCAGAGTGATTGAAATTGGTGCTTCCTCATCTTCAATGATCATGCATCCACAATAGTCTTAACCAGGAGAAAATAAGTGAAGGGATTGAAACCACATTAGAGATAAACACATATGTAGAATATACATAAACCATTTTACTGAGGAAGGAAAATGTTAAACCACTAGTCTTTGCTCCTACTCTAGACGCTTTTATTTTAAAGCACACATGACTATACAAGGACATGTATTCCTTGTGTAGAAAATGGCCCATCTCTATAATTTTTCCATAAAGGGCTATGTCTCATGCATGGCAAAATGGTAAGATGGGGAAAATGATAAAATAGGCCTGAATGTAGGAACACATGGAGAAAGAGATGTGATGTGCTGGAAGGAATCACTTCCATTACCACTAGAAGTTATGAGATGGATTCTGTTGAATATGAGCAAGAACCATATCTGGAAAGCCCCTGTATTCTAAAACCTGCATCATTTAATATTCACAACACCCTGATAAGCATTTATCACAAAGCCTTATAGCCATTTTATGTTTAGAGACTGATATTAATAAGATGGTGAAGTCTAGGAATAGCTGGCTTCATAGCAGCACTGTTTCCACAAGGCCCCTTGGTCTTATTCTGCAGAAGAAGAGTAAGCAGCAAGATAAATGCCAGGAGCTTGACGGTGGTGAACCCATAATTGATATTCCCATTACATGCCCATCTTTTTCTCCCATTGTCAACAATCACTCTTGAGGCCATTCTGTGAAATTTAGAGACAGATTTACAATTTCTCTAGGAATTTAAAAACATGTATCTTTTTCTATTAAGCATATTCTGTTCAATATCCCTAAAATGTGGTTTCTTTACTTAATAGTTTAAACACAAATAAGAGCAGCCTACCCTTTTTCTTCCAGAAGGCTTCCTTGTAATACACCATGCACTTGATGACAGCCCCCATTGGAAGACGCTGAATTAACTGGTTTCTCTCAGGTGGAAGTTCTGGTTTGAAGTGGATCTTGGCCGTCAAAATTGGTGGGATGGCACTAATTACATATTTACACTGAAATGCAATATGCAACAAATCACCTGAAACATGAACTGTAGCCTTTACAAGGGGTATGGAGCATCATTAAAAACAAATCAAACCAGTGTGAAGCAACAAAATCAAAGAAGGTACGAGAACAAGGTAGGTGGGCCGGTAAGTTTTGTCAACCTGACACAAACTAGAGTTAGCCTGGGAAAGGGAGCCACAGCTGGCGAACTTCCTCCATTACATGGGCTTTTGGTCTTGTCTGTGGGGAATTTTCTTGATTAATTATTGATATGGGACAGCGAGGTCTACTGTGGATGGTACCCCCCTGGACAGATGATCCTGAGTGATATAATAAAGCAAACTGAACAAGTCATGGGAGCAAGCCGATTAGCAGCACTCCTGCATGATTCATGCTTCTGTTTCTGCTTGAATATCTGTGGTGACTTCACTCAATGATAGGCTGTGATCAAGAACTGAAAGCCAAATAAATCCTTCTTTCCAAAGGGACTTTTGGCCATGGTGTTTATCACAGCTACAGAGAAGCAAACTAGCACAATAAGTATACCAAATCTGTCAGTCTGGAAGACTTGAGGTAGATACATGCTAGAGTTAATTATATCACTGATTAGATTATAATATGATTAGAAGTTGCAAAAGGTACAAAATCGATTTACTACAAACTCCTTTGACTACAATGGGTTACCTCGTAGTGTTCATGATTCAGTGTCTCTACAATGATGTTGTCATCCGTTTGGTCAATATAAGTAACAGGAGAGCTCAACTTCACTTTTTCCCCAAGGATTTTCATCATCTGTTCACTTACTTGGCCAGCTCCACCTACAAATTTCCGTTCCTATTGGAGAAGGTAAGCAGAAAAGGAAAGTTATAAAGAGAAAATGGTGGAACATTTGCCACTAATTGGTAAATCTCCAAGAAGGTATAGCCAATTGTGGGAAGAATCATTAAGATATTTCAATTATCGTTCTCAGTACAGTTTCTGCAAGGGAAATCCATCACTAGCATATAAAATCAGAGACAAAAAAGTTCTCCTATGCCAATGCTGCCCTGATCAAATGCAAATAGCAAGCCTGGCAACTTCAAATCTGTAGAAGCATGGTGTATGTGAGGAGTCCTGGGAAGGGAAGGTAGCTATGTTCATCCTAGGGGATGTGGTTTCTAGCTCCTCACAGAGTTAATTGCCCGTACAGGTAAGGACATAGAAAATATTATATTATAGATGACATGAGTCTATAAAAAACAAGCTCAGCGTGCACTTAGGGTTAGCAATTGCCAAATTAGGTCCTTAGGAATCTGAATTTTAGCTTTTGAATATCTTCTTCTTAAACTAACTGTAAGTTTCATAGTCAAGGCAGAATATTAGTGGTTAAGCAATCTGTTTTTCCTTTAAACAATGCTAAGTATTTCTTTTGAGCAGCACTAAAGGATCAGAAGTTCTTTTCTTACTGTAATCTGCTATTCTCAGCATGGACATTGTTTAAGCATAATCCAAAAGGATAAATTCTTAATACAGCATATTTGCTTACAACATAGGAAATATTTTTAGTCTCTATAGGAGATTCTTTGAATGACTAGGAACTGAGGGACAGGCCTCAGCTGACAATTATGATACTTCACTACTGCATGAGTAGTCATGCAGTAACTATTGCAACTGGTGTTTAGTGAGGACACAAAACTGATCACATAGTGGTTAAGACTTACTTCTTCTTTCTGAAGAAATTGAAATTATTTATCACTGAATCTGTTCTATGATTCCAAATAGGTGCCACGAAATCTAGTACAGCAGAAAAATCATAGACTAATTCTATCTGTTCACTACCTTCTCTGTTTAGAATTTGTTAAATTGAATATAAAGAGGTAAATGTGTTTTTAAAGATATTGTGATAATGACTTGAAATTCAAAATCTAAACTCTACTTTCTAAAAGATCACATAGGGCTTGTCTAGAAGTATTCTGTCTCTTACAAATAAACGATACAGATAACCCATGAGTTAAGATACCTCAGAAGGTTACAATGACCTTAAGCACACATTTTAAAAATGCAAATGTCCTATATTAATTTGGGTCTTCTGATGATCACCTGAGGAGAACAATAGTTTACTTTGAAGACAAAGTCTAAATTCACAAAATGTACTCAAAATTCTGGGACTCAGGTAACAGCATAAACTAGAATTTATCTGCAACAAATTAATTAGCCTTATCCTACTGAGGCATAACATTCCTAGATAAGAGTCATGCTCTTTGGAAAAGGGAGAGCTTTGCAATGAATGTCAGAGTCTAAGGAATAGGGATTTAAGATTTTGGCTTTGCTGTTAGTTTATTTTGTATTTAGTCAACGAATTAAATGACTTCACTCATTAGTAATGAAAATGTATGGAATCCCCCAAAAATTGCAGGGGTACAGCTAAATTTTAAAATTCAAAATATAGAATTTACTACAAAAAAGAGTGGACACAATTCATTTGTGTGGATTAGAAGAGTAATTTCCATTCAACAGGATTTAACAAGAAAGAACACCTGTGAGAAACAGGTGGCATAAAGAAGTTTATGTAAAGAACAGAGATAATTTTAAGTATACTAATTTTATAAGCACTACAATATTATTGGAAATTAACTTATTTTTAGTAGTTTTGCTGCTTCTTCATTATCCTACATTTTAAAGGAAGGAACTTAATTGTTAAATATTTCAAATGAAATATTCAAAATAAAACATTAATTCAAAATGAAATATTCCTTAGCAATGAGCTTTTCAGGAATAACAAAAGGAAATGAGAATTTCTTCAAACATATTTTTAGATCATTTTATCCTACCATACATGATTATAAACAATGAAGGCATTATCAAGGCATTATTCTGGGCAAGTCAATTTCAGAACTGACAAAGTATACCTGGCCTCCATTGGTGACTGAGAATATCCGAGTGGTGCCACCACACTGCTTCACATACCACAAGAACCACAGGGCAGATACCTCATGTGGCTCAGAAGTCACATTGATATTCACAAAAAGAGTAGCAAATTCCCGAGCAGTTCTGTTCACAGAAGAGGAGTAGAAATCACATGTCAATGCATACAGGAAGAAGAGTACCAAGTCTTGAAAGTTATCCTCTAAACTTCACTATGTGACACATACACACTGTGAAATGTAGATATACACCAGTTACACATACATCAATAGTAGCATAATTAAAAATACATACAGAACTCAGAGGAATGTACCTTTACAAAATATAATAGAACACGAATAGAAAGTTTTTCTACTGTTTTGGGAACAAAACCAAACCAAACCAAAAACCTCATAGTCTCGATGTCCATAGGAGAGCATTTGTTAACTTTTGAGAAAAAATAAAAAGTTTTCTCCTGCTATTATGAAATATGCTTAGCTTTGTGCAGTTGCAGTATCATAGCCAATGAGTTTTATCCGAGGTGCGATAATTGCTAGTTGAAAACTTTTCACAAGAAATACGGTTAGCCCCAAAAATGGTCTATCTAATGATTCAATATCCTTGATTGTTAGGCACACTTCTCACCTATTTTAAAGATTTTCCTCACTTTTCCATCTCTTCTGACTCCACTCTGGTTCATGCTACTGTAAAATCTCTTACATGGGCAGAGAAAGTGGTGAGCTCCATATTATCACCCTAAATCACCTCTAATACCTTCTGCCATGCTAAACACAATGTGGTCTTTAAAACATGTTGGTGGCAAGCTGAGCATGGTAATGGAGTTTAATCTCGTGCAGTAGGCAGAGGAAAGAGGATAGCAAGTTAGAGGCCATGAAGGTATACATAATGAAACTTTATTTCACAAAAGCAAAAATAACCAAAACAAAACTAAACTAAAAATAAGGTTTAAAAACACAAAACAAAATTAAAATTTTCATCAATGGCCTAAAATAGAGAATCCTGGCATGCATACAATATAATAGATGCATTACAGGCTGTTGAATGTATTACTACAATTACTCATCACACTACTTGCTGCAACTATGTTCCAGGCATACTGACCATTCACTTGTTAAAATGTGCCTATTTCCTTCCCTTTGAAAGCCATTTCCAAAAGCTACTCCTTATTTTCTCTCTTGAAAATTCTATTCCCTTATATCACTCACAGGTCTGAACCTCTCCCCTTCCTCTTGGTTATTCCTGAAAGGCATAGTTCCTCAACACCATTTTCCTCATTCTCCTTTGGGTAAGAAATTCCTACCATCCCAACTACATCTACTATTTTCTCTCTCCTAGTCTAACAATATGCCATTCCTGAAAGATGCTGCTCCAGAAAAATCTATCCATCCAGTTTCCCCATGCTTTTGTGATAATTCTTAGAAAGGTACAGTGTTTCTTGGGTCATTTCATAGTAAATGCTATGTGCCCACTTTATATCTATTTCTGTATCTTCCACACTTGGCCCTACGAATTATCCTGGAAGTTAGCATCGAACCCTGTCTTTTCCTGACTTTAAAATGCTGCCATGTCTTATTTCTGGAAGATGTTACTACTCTCACATTATCTAACATCAAGCTTACCCTTAACCTTAGCCTAAACCTAGAATATAGCATCTCACCCCTTTGGGACACCTAGAACATGCTCTCCTACCATATTTATACTCCCTTACTTCCTCTTCACTACTGTCATGCATTCTGTTCGTCATTGTCTTAGCATATACGTGTATAGTGTGTATGCATGTGTGTGTGTGTGTGTGTGTGTGTGTGTGTGTTTTCCCATGTGTGTGGGTCATCTCCATGCATTGGGCAGGTGGCAGAGGTTGAAGCCAAGTGTCTTCATGGTCTCTCTCCATTTTATTTATTGAGGCAATATCTCTCAACTGAACTGGGAGCTTGCCAATTTGGCTAGTCTAGATGCACAGTTTGCGCATGGATCCCTTATTTTTGCCTCAGGAGAATCAAGATTACAGGCAAGCTGCCATGCCTGCCCATCTTTTATGTGGCTCAAAACTCTGGTTCTTACACTTGCAGAGCAAGCATTTTATCAACTGAGCCATTATCCAGCTTTGGAGGCCACTACCTACACTTCTGATTTCCTCTAACTCCTGTGGATCATTCCTGGAATACCATCCTGCTACACTATGACAATGCTCCCTTCTCTTCTCTGACCCTAGTTCTTCCCTGGAAATTTTCCATGAGGTTCATCTTTCCTAGTACTCCATGACTCTGACTGGCATGTTGTTGAAAGATTCCATCTCTCCCCACACCTGACAGCCTCCCTGTCTTCCTTCACACCCAAATGTTCATACATCCTGCCTCCCATGTATTGGTGGATCATTCTTGGAAGAGATCATCTACTACAATCAGTCTTTCTCTGTTTTAACAGTATATCCCTAGAATATACTATGCCATCCACAATCTGCTCTTCAATTGTCCTTTGTCCCTACGAATTATCCCTAGAATTATACCATCATGATATACAATTTTTGCATCCATTCTCATTCCTACATCTATATGGTGATTATTTTTTAAAAATCAGTTTTATTTTCATTTTTAATATAAGGAAGGGGGCAAGCACACCTGCCACATTTGTTAGGTGTCCTTGGAGACCAAATCAGAGGGTCAGATCTTCTGGCACTGGAGTTATCAGCAATTGTAAGCTGCCCAACAAGGGTGCTGGGATCTGAACTCAGGATCCCTTGATAAGCAACACCAATGTACTCTTGACCATTGAGTCATCTTTCTAGCCTCTGGGATTGATCTTTTGAAAAATATGTTTACAAATTGCTTTTGTAGGTAACCTCTACATAACATAAAAACACGGTTACTATTTTCTATTCAAAATATGACTCTTTTGTACAAAAATGTTCTACTCTATGTACCTCCTTTTTTAAGTTTTGATTAATTTTCTGTTCAAATCTGCTGACTAATAAGATTACTGTATTTCTTAACTTTCCCTACAAGTTGTTAAGAACAACACTACTATTCAAGACAGGATGCAAAGGGTCAGAGGGAAAGATTTTTAAAATAAGATTTTAAGCAATCAAATATACTTTGTCCAGCAGATTTTATCAAAGAGATCTTTCATGGTCATCCTGTCCCATTCCTCAGCATGTGGTGCTTGCCACGGTGCATCAAAGGGGATCTGCAATGAAAGGTCATATGTTCATGAGTGAAGGAAATTTCTCTACTCCTCTCTTCAGAGAAGCCTTTATGCATACCTCTAAAAGCTTGTTTCTTGGTGTCTACAGTTGGCTGGGAAGTGCATAAAGAGGTGAGATAAATCTGGAATTTGTGCCTTAATGCTACTGTCAAACAATAGTAGCAATAGTGATAATAACAACAGCATATATACATTTATTTGTAATTGGGATAATGATGGTCATTATTAATATCAACATTATTATTGGAAGATCACATCAATTTTTAACCCCACCCCAATGAACTTTGATGTAAAAAGTCCTTGTCTTCTTTACTACATAACGTGGCATTGTAGATAGATAACTGTAAGTAGATATTTGGCAGAAATATCATATATATGCTCACAGGCATAGAAATGAAGCCACACAGGCAGTAGTATAAGCAAGAGTGTTTTGAATTCTGGTTCCCTTGCTGCATGGTTTTGAGAAAATTACATAAACACTTGGTATTCATTTTCTCCATCTATCAAGGGGAAATCCTTCCAGCTTTTGCAGAATTGCTGATTACCCTAGAAAGGGCATGCATCAGTGCAAATCAGCAATGTCCCTTGTACCTTACAATGATATTAATCAGCTTCATTCTTCAGCAATATGTTATGTGCAAACCAAACACACATATTACCTCTTTTCCCATTTCATCCATTGTCCTCCACAGGTTGTTATAATCCAAATAGGCCAAGGGATTCCACACAGGTGGAAAGGCACCACGAAATGGGTAAGTTTTCCCCTGGAACATAAAAGCAAAGGGGATCAATTTGAAATGGATAATACTTAAGTTACATGACATCCTAAAACCACAGGAACCAGGTTGACCTGGTACAGGTCTTTAATCCCACAAGCTCAGGAAGCTGAGGCAGGAAGACTCCAAGTTGCTAGTCTGAGGAATTTAGTGAGATCCTATGTTAAAAATAAGAAGGAAAAGGGGTCTGGGGATGTTATTCAATGGTAGAGTGTTTAATATACATATATGTATATATATATACATATATATATATATATCCTTGTGTTCTACCCCCAAAACTACAAAAATAAGTAAATAAATTAAAAATAAAACCCAATTAATAGAAATCATTTTCTTTGTGTGTGTGTGCGCGCATGTGTGTGTAAGAGAGAGAGGGGACACAAAGTATGACATGTGTGTCAGAAGCATGTGCCAGCAGACTCGCCTGTGTGAGTGCACATGAAGATCTGGTCAACTCTGGGCGTCTTCTGTGATTGCTTTCCACCTTATTCTCTTGATACAGCGTCTGTTACTGAACTTGGACATCACTCGTTTGAGCAAACTGGTTGGTCACCAAGCCTCTAGAATCTGTCTGCCTCTGCACCCCTAGCCTGGAATCATAGTCATATACCACTGTGTCTGGCTTTTTTTTACAAGGGTGCTCAGGGTCTGATCTTAGGTTCTCATGATTGTACAGAAAACACAGAGTCATCCTCCAACCTCAACCTAAAACATTTTCAAAGCAGCAGGATACTCTACCACATTGATGTAAATATATTTTCCCTAAATAAGCCTAATTTTAATAAGATTTCTAAAATTACTCCCAATGTTGTATTAGCTATTTTAAGTTTACAGGAAATTATAGCTTTGACTCATGTTTACTTCTTAGGACAAATAAATATATAAAGACAAAACTCATTTCAGTATAAATGCTGAAACCATATTCTTATCAAATATCTGTGGAAAGGTGATCTTATATAAGTGATAGCATGAATAGACACATACACGTCACATCTCAGAGCGAGTTTTAAAGGTTTTCACAGGGTAAATGAAGACCAATTAGACTACTGTGTTTGATGTAAAGAATCAGACTATTAGCAGTATGGAACAACTGGCATTTACCAGTTTGAGTTGTTCAACATCTAGTTTTCTTTTATAGATGTACCCTGGCTTCCTTTTCGGAAACTGCCACTCCTCTTTGTTATTATGTAAGGAGCATGGTGCTAGATGCTATTAAAATAAATATAGGCTAGATTCCCCTCAACTCGTGATCTAGCCCAGCTATGAGCTTGTGATCTGACCTTGGATAACAAACACTGTTGGAAGATTTGACCCTGTAGTTAGGTCATTATAACTCAAGTACAGTAGAAAGTGAATTTTATTCCTTAAGACAGCATGACAAACAGATGTTTCAAGTTACAAAGACCATGATTCGTGGCTCTAACTTGTCAGAGTTCTCCTGCTTTCGGTAGATTCTGAATTGTAATGCTCCAGCCTCAGAAATTCCCTTTGTTAGCTCAAACAGGTTTGTGTGGCTTAGTACTAAGTTTTCTAATGTCAAGACAGCTTGATATTTAGAAACCATTTACTTCACTTTATTGTGTGACACATACTATGCTAATTAAAAACAAGGGCAAATAGAGGGTGGACTCAGTAAAAGAGAGAAAGACTAGGTCATTTATAAGGTACTATCTGCAAATTCAACTCATTTTAGTGGATCTTCAGGTTCTTTATCTGCAGATCCAACCAACTGCAAATAGAAAGCATTCAAAATATACTATCTATACTTAACAAGCACAGACCTTTTTCTTGTTACTATTCCCTCAACAAAAAATTATAGCAATTACTTAGATAGCATTTACATATGATATATATTATAAGCAATCTAGAGATGATTTAAAGTACACAGGAGAATATGAATAAAATATAGGAAAATAACATTTCACTTTATTTAAACCACTTAAGACATCCCCAGATCTTGGTTTTCATAGGAATCCTCTGCAAATACCAAGGGGCAATTATGGTTAAAAATAAATGACTTCTCAATATTCATAAAACACAAATCTTTTCTGCTAGTACAATTTCTCATGAAAGTTTGATTTTATTAATGAATATCTGTAGAAAGTCAACTGCATGCATTGCATAGTATTAAAAAATTATGCCAGACTTTCAAAAATGTTCAACAAAAAATCCTGACTATCAAGGCAGAGGCACAAGGCATGACAGTATGTGCGTACTCTCCCCACCCCCACAACTGAATAAGAAAACATGGTATCTATTAAATGACAAAGAAGCAAATTTCCTTTCCACTAGCAAATTCAAATAACCTTGGTTGATTATGTGATCTGATTTCTTATCAGAAAATGCTATGTTGAAATGCTACAATACAACTTTTTGGGACTCCAAATCCTTTATCACTGTCATGACTATCATCAAACATTTATTGAACTTTCTTCATGCCTGGCAGTGGCTGAAACTCTTCATATGCGTTATCTCATGTAATGTTCGCATCAGTTCTGTGGGGAAAAGGACTACTAATATTTCCATTTTATAAATAAGGAAACTAAAGCCTAGTGATAGCAGCTAGGAAATAGTATGAGGATAATTTCCTCCTCCAAAGGCTTTCTTCATAAAATGTGTTTTCCTCACTCCTATATGGTTGATGGAACATGGAGATAGGTTCGTTTTAGATGCATTTTAAACTTCCCCAATAAAATAAGGAGAACTCTCACATGTTAAAATTAAGAAATCTCTCCATGTACCTTTTCTGTTTCTAAAGAATAAAATACAAAGAAAGAAGCACAAGGGGTTTGACTGCCAAGGAAATGATGCCATATTTAGGAAAGGCTAATACATTTTCTGAAAGAAATGGACAGAAACATTTACACAAGACAAACTAACTCTGGAGAGAAGAGAGGCTGGACTTACTTGATATTTTGGGAAGCCTTTAGAGCAGCAGGTTCTTGTTACAATTCTTCATGCTATAGTGGAAGCTTCACCCCAGCCCCTGGCATCCATATACCCAAAGAGTCTAGGATGTTATGGTGGAAGCTTCACCCCAGCCCCTGGCACTCAAAAACCCAAACAGTCTGGAATGTTATGGTGGATGGTCCATCCAAACCCTCTCCCCTATCTCTCTCCAAACCCTGCTGCATCTCAGAAAGCCCACATTTAATGGATACAAAGCTCCTGGATGGCCTCCCACCCTCCCAGAGAGGAGACAGGAAAGAGACATCAGAAAACCATGAGTCTATTTTCTGGGGAACAGTTTAAATACCCTGTGGGAGTGGTCTTGAGTATCTCTGGGAGGGGGGGTCATCATTTGGCGGGCTTTCTGAGATGCAACAGGGTCTCGAGGGTTTGGGGGCTTTGGTGGAAACTCCACCATAACATCCCAGACTCTTTGAAGCTTACACCAAAACACTTCCCAAACTTGAAAAAAAATCAATATTCCTCTATAAAACGACTTTGTACTCAAAAATAGTCATATACAAAACAGATCTCTGCTCTGAAAAAAAAGTGTTTGAGATAGGGTCTCAATATGTAGCCTTGGCTGGTCTGTAACTCAACATGTAGACAAGGAAAAAAGTACTTTAAAAATATTCTCATTAATCATTAAATAAAGTATTATAAATGCCATATTACTAATGAAATTCTCCTCATAGAATACCAACTTGAGTGTGCTTACATAAAGTCTTAAGGGCCCCTCAATCCATCCAAGCCTTCATAAACACACAAAGACCCAGAAAAGGTCAGAGAACAGGGTGAAGGGAGAATCTAGCCTGGCAACCTGCTTAATAATGGAAACCATAGATAGTTTAAAAGATGTAAACTTTTTTCCTGCTGACAACGGCACCAAGTAGTTTCCTCTTTATCAGTTTCTGGCTTTTCTGTTCTCATTTGCAGCACACAGATACATCATGGAACTGGCAACTTCAAGGTAACAGCTTTCTCCTTTCTCATGAACACCTACAAGGGCTTATTTATCAATGGCTGCTTCTAGATTACACAACTGGGGACTACTTTGACATGTGTGGCACACTGGAAGAGGGCATGGCAATGTCTCTTGGCTGAGGGAAACACGCAGAGGCTCTCTTGGTGTCCTAAAACGAGATTCCATAGTTTCTTAGCAAGGTGTTAACAGTTTCATAATCCAAAACAAATTCTCTTCAAGAAATGCCTTCATGACCTGAGAGTGAGGCAGGGCTCTAAAATACTATTTCCAAATAACTATTACTTTGTAAAAATAAAAGGAAATAAAGAACCTTGAGTAGCAATTGTTCATGTTATGCCTATATTCTGAAACCATACTACCTTTCCAAAATAGCCTTTAATTTCTGAAGGACTGACACGGCAGAAGTTATTTATGTTGAGTAGAACACAATGTTCCTGGAATCATGTTCCCAAATATCTAAGTCCACTTGAGAATTACATCTGTAATCTATCACTGTTCATAATAATAGGAGGTTATTAGCAGGACCTGATAGCTTATGGTTCTCATAAACCACAAGATATGCTGTTTATACTAAGAAAGTAGCACTTAATGACTGACACACTGCAAAGTTTCTCTTCTTTATACTTTCAAATTTTAGTTAAGTAAAAGGAAGTGAGAACAATCACAGTATTTTAAGGAACTGGGGTGGCTGCCAAATAGCTTTCTTTAATCATCTAGAAAATAAATAGCTTCTAGATTGGTTTGGGAACATGCCTTTACAACCCATATGGATACCCTGAGACTTGCCTGTGTCACTGTTATTTAACAATGCCTAAAAGAGAAATTTTTTCAACAATCCATAATGCAAGAAATAAAAGAATCATCTAAAAAGAAACCCATTAATTCACACAGCATCATTATATTGTTTTAAAAGGGGTCAAGACTATGCTGGGGAAACTCACAGAAACAGCTAACCTGAGCAAGTAGGAGCTCACAGACCCCAGTCAGACAGCTGTGGAACAATGCATAAGACTGAACCAGGGCCCCTGAACATGGGTGTCAGTTGGGGGTC